TTCCCCACTGGATTCGAAGTAGGAATCTTTTCTTTATTGTCAAAAGGAATGGTCTCCAAGGTGACTGTATATAAACATCTTAAGTACTTGAAGTATTTTAAGAGGTTGCAAGAAGCGGTAAAGTGATACATTGTATTACCTGAAAACTGTATTTATCTAAGTCAATCAGAAGGAAGAGTATTTTCATATATGTCTGCATATGGCAAATCCTTAGACTCAAGATAGAGCGCTTTTCGACCGAGCATAAAATAATACAATAATAACGAAAACACACCGCGTGCAGCTTGCAAGAAGTAAAGCTAGATAAGTACAAAACAAGACTTATGTTGTAGAGCATTTTCAAGATAGATATTTCCAGTATATTTAGGTTTACCTTTTGTTTTATTAAGTCTCGCCTTTTTGCGTCTACGTTGTTATTTTGATGAATCTATAGTTTTGATCATTTAATTTTAGTGTGTGCTTGAACTTGGCTCAGTTCTTACCGTACTAGACATTTTAATCGCTTGTTATGGTCGAGGAAAACTAGCTCGCTAGGTGGTCATGTTTGGGTTGGTAAAACTGACCTTGAGTTTTACCCACACTGAATATCCTGTTTTGGAAATTCCCAGGGTCAGCTAACCCAAACATGTCTGTGAATTTTACATTAAATGAGAGAGCACTCCTCGCTAAAGTCAGAAGAGAAGAGGAACAGAAATAGCTGTGGTAGTAGAAGGTAGTAGCAACAATAGAAGAGAAGAGGATAAAAGAAGAAAATTATAGAGTCTCGCTACCTCTTGTTAATTCGCCAAGCGAGTGGTAAAAAAATAACCCACAACACTTAATATAACCGCCATTAACACACATCAATAAACCTTTCTTAAAAACTTTCCTTGGAAGCAGAATTCAAACGAGTTGATTTTAATCTCTGGAGCTCTTTTCTGTCATTCTTTTAATTTTCTCCCTAATTTATGTAAAGCAAAGAAACTAAAAAGAAAGATAAATAACCTTGTGACGCCAGAGAAAAACATTAATAAAAGAAGACAAACTTCCCCCCCTGCGGCAAGATTTTAACAAAGACCACTCACCTAGTTACACATCTTAATGCCCAAAACGGTAATTCCCTGCACGGAAAATTTTTGTAACGACATATACGCTTTTTTTAATCGCATTAGACCGCTGTAAAATTTTACTTTATCTCTCTTTTTTTTAGGTTTCTAACAGATGTCTTTAAAACACATATCTTTGGCTATCGCCACAAAGTGTTACGCCCTCTCTCTCAACAAAAATAATCAATTCCGAAAAAAAAAATGTAGTCAAACACCTAAAAGGAAAAACAAATAAATTATGGATGAAGAGAAATTGTAATATTAACTGAAGCAGATGTTTGCAAACCGTGTATCAGCACGAAAATGATTTCTCTGTGAGCTAGAAGAAAAATATGGAATTTTTCTTGTTATCTTCCTGTTTCCTTGCTCTGATTGTATCAGCGAGCTCTTTGCAGACCTCAAAAGGTATCATCTCTCTCCCGTCGCAGTATTACCCGCGTGTTTTTTGTTATCTATCTCATAAATAAGTATAAGCAAAACTATTTTGATCGGTTATCTTCATTTCTTTATCAAACACAGGACAATCACTACATAATGGGATTGCTTTCGCCAATTTTCTTGCTCACAAAGGCTCCTATTTGAACATTACATATGTTGGGAAAGAACTGGTCCAACACTCCTCAGAGTGTGCTTTTAAATGTCTCTATGAGGATNTAGGGACCGTGGCAACGTCTCGAAAATTGAAAAATAGGCATATTTTGTAACATTGTAAAATATTTGATTCGCATAGTTAAGCCACCGAATTTGTATCAGATTGCTTAAAAACCTTTCTAGTTTGCCAAGAAAGTTAGAATTTTCCCTCTCAATATATCTGAAAAGGCGAATTTTAGCATATTCTGACCCCTATAAATCGCCATCGGCCGATGGCCGTAAATAACCTTGATTTAGACGTTAAGTTTTGGGATTTGGGACCTGCTTGACAACTCTATCCTACACATCCGTTAAGTTTAGACCTTTATAGGCAAAAAAATGCAAAAACCCCTGTACGTTTTCGATTTTTCAAAAGTTATGACCGTTTGAATCAGCACATGTCGAGCATTAGCGATTTCATCACTTACACCAAAATCGAACTACTGGAGCTGATTTCGTCATAAATAGAACTTACCCGCTTTGCAGCCCGGCTTCATGGCTAACTTCAGTATTTTTGTAATAACCAAATTGCTGAAATCCATGACAACCTCAAGAAATTGCTCTGTATTGCCTTCGAAAAGTACGCTGCATCCATCCTCATTCAATCGTGGTATCAAAACAAATGGTCGGAATTATGGCCACATTTCGCAGTTAATTACCCATTGAACATCGCTTCCGAGGTGAATTTTTCCAGAATCAGAAAATGAAGTCTCCATGGCTGGAAGCTAAGAGGGAAATGAAGGTTTTAGGCTTCTGAAGTGAAGAAATAATCTCTTAAATTTAGATCACGACGATCCTGTTCGATGTTCTACTGTTCTCACAAAGGTCCGCGCAAACGAGAAGACCGCTGATAGCTTGTGCCTTACACTGTGTCGTATGATTTTGTTCTATCCCAATTTACACCTCAATGTAATATCTTAAAAATCGAGTTTCCAGATGGGATATTTAAGCATACCTATTACTAACCTATTACTAACCTTAACCCTAACCCAGAACCCAACCCAGATCCTAACCCAACCCTAATCTAACCCCAACCCTAACCCAGACCTCAACCCAGATCCTAACCCAACCCTAATCTAACCCCTACCCTAATCTTAGCCTAACCCCAATCTAATATAACCCTAATTAAAACTAACCCCAACTAAAACTAACCCCAACCCTAGTCTATCACTAACCATAACTTTAATCAAAACTATTATATATCATTTTAACCCCAAACCCTTAGTAGTCCCCCATTACGTGTACTAATAGTTACTTTGATACAATATTTTAAGTTCATTTTATTTTATTTTGATTTTATTTGTTGTTTTCGTAACATATATATTTTTTACAACTTTGAATTGAATTTAGGAGCGTGCTGTTGTTACAGAAGTCGCTCCCTCAATTTTAACAC